AAAAACAAGAGAAAATTTAGTGTGATTTTTAATCTCATATATCTCATTCAAAAAAACTTTTTGTTTATTCTAAGGGACTTTCGGCCCTCGGTAATAATGTAATCTTTCATTCTGCGTTTAAATTTTTCAAAAATATGTTTTAGTTTTTTCAGGATTCGAAAAAAATGAACACTATGTCCGCGGTAATATTTTCCAAATCGAACATTCCCTATCTTTGTCATACAACGCACTCAGTCGAACTGAAAGTGGTGGCAAAGCTACTAAATGTTTGACACGGCTTCAGGAATATTTTGTGTTGCTTATTAAATAATATTAATAGTTTATTTGATAAATAATTAATTTAAGATGTGAAATTAATAATAAATGATTTATTATTTATTATTTATGGAAGATCTAAGTATCAGATGAAGTCATTAAAGTTCAAATAAAAGTATTATTTTATAAGAGTTTGTTTTCATAATCGTAAATGCGAGTTTAGGAATAAACTAAAGTGCCCATGGTGTAGATATGAAAAGCTACGAAGGTGGCGCATGACAATATCTTGAGTGAATTATTAAATTTTGACATCTTAAATAATGATTGCTTTTCATGAAGAGGTATAACGCTTTTTTTTTTCATTTTACACATTACATATTTTTTTTTATTTTTTTTTTAGAGTTTAAGGATTAAAACACTTTTCAATGTTGTAGCTTTCAGTTCAATTTACCATTATTGTTTATTTACAATATTTATCTTGGACTATATCAATGGTACTTTTAAGACTTAAAACTTAAATTGTTTGTCTATTGATATAGAAAAAAGCGGTTACATAGGCCTCTGGAAAATACATAGTATAATAACTAGGTACCTACATTCAAAGTAAAATAAAAACTATTAATTAAAAGATATTAAGTATGTTAAGTGTAATAAATATTCTCTGCAATAAGATCCTATTAATCATAATTAATAACTTATCATTATTGAATTATTTCAAAAGTGTGTTTCCTGGATTGTTTTATATGCTTTTTATTACCCTAAGAAATTACATATAAATGAGTGTTTACAAGAGGTAAAAACATCTGTGCTTGAAATTTTTGGGTGTCGATGCCCTACTATTATATCTATGTCGATGCAGTTCTAGGAAAACGTGTCTGTCGACTCTCAAAACAGATGTATTATCGAAAGTGTTCGAAATAAATTTGCAATGGAAATGTAAAGGCAATTTTAAAATTATTTTGAAATATACGAGGGGTCTCATAAAGTGGACGTATCAAACGTGTTTGTTTTTATGGAACTCCCGTATTTTATTGCATTTTTTATACCTTAATATTGTAATTCCGGAGATATTTCGATTTTCCTTAAATTGTAGGGCATTATAAAAATAATAACTCCTAAACCAATGAATTTAGCCAAACAATATTTATTTTAATTGTAGGGAAAGCGTAATAATAGAGAATACCGACGTATTTAAAGTTATATGCAAATACACAGGGTGTCAATTATTTATAATTATTATTTTATTATTTGTTATATCACAATTATTTCACAATTAAATTTTGTTTTTTTTAGTTATATTAAATTTTGTAATATTTTTTTCTTATTATTATTAGTTGTTTACCTTGGACAGCAATTAAATTGTAACGCAGAAAGTCACGACGAAATTAGATCTAGGATAGAGCAGGCTAGAGCTTTAGAAGGATGTCCAAGGTGTTATGTAACAGAGACCTAAAATTGACTTTGAGGAACCGCCTACTTCGCTGCTACGTGGTCTCGGTCTTACTTTATGATGTCGAGTCCTGGACTGTAAATAAAATCGATCTAAATCGCCTTAAGGGTTTCGAAATGTGGTGCTATAGAAGAATTTTAAAAGTTTCCTGGGTGGAGAAGATTCGAAACTCCACAATACTAGAATGTCTCAGCAAGACCACTGAGATCATAAAAAGCACCAAACAGAGAAAACTGGAGTATTTTGGACATGTAATGAGAGGTCCCAAATATAGGTTGCTACAAAATATCATTCAAGAAAAAATAGCAGGCAAACGCAGTCAGGACGAAGAAGAACCTCACGGTTAAAGAACTTGCGAGATTGGTATGGTGTTGATACAAGCATGCTATTTAGGGTGGTAGTGAATACAATTAAGATAGCTATAATGGTACATGTAATTAGAACACTTTGTATATGAACGTATGACTATACTTTAACTATATTATCGTTTCAACAATATATAGGATATCTTAAGCACAGAATAATAAACAATCAGAATGCCCACTCTGCTTAAAAAAAGAAGTACGCGCATCTCCTTCGCGCAGAAGGAATCAGCCATGTTTTAGTCGGAACCGGTGCTGTTCAGTGACACATGGTGTGCATAGACAAATTAACCCGGTTTAATTTATTTACTGCAACTACAGACATAATATGCACTTTCACATTTTATTCGTACTTTTAGTTGAAGAGTAGATTAAATTATTTCAGAGTTTATTAATAGACTAAATTATTAATAATTTTGTGAAGGGCTTGTTGATATTGACCTTTAGAATTGTACGACATACTTCATAGTAACCATACCATACTTGGTGGACCATACTTCAAGGTAAAGTGCATGGGAAAAGAGGTCCAGGACGGAGAAGAATATCCTGGCTGCATAACCTGCGGAAATGGTTTAACTTAACCACTACCGGACTTTTCAGGGCAGCAGTCAACAAAGTCATTATAGCCATGTTAGTGTCCAACATCCGTAACGGATAGGCACCATAAGAAGAAGAAGACAAACCAGCAGCGTGGCATCTCATGTCATAGGACCCCCGAGAGCTATAATTTATTGTTTTACCTCCTAGAAACTTTGCTATTACATTACTATATTGTTTAGCATAATTGTTATTCATATTTTTTAAAAGACTATTTGCATGGAATTTTAATCTTGCTGCATATTAGATGTATCGTTTTTCAAAAACTTTATTCTTAAGTCACTTGGTTTATCTGACTGTTGATGGTATTCAGTTGCTTTTGTAACAGCAGTTCTTAATCTTAATATGTTATTTTTTAAAAGCTTTCGTAAGAAAATTGGTACTAGTTTTCCATCGAAACTATATTGTTTTGTTGATAACATCTAGAATTATTTGTCTTTCCATTGTAGTCATAGCTTTTGTCCAATTTTTATAACATACGTGTTCTTTATCTTCTCCGTATAATTAACGTTACTCCAAGATACAGAATCTTTTGGGTTCTGTAACCAATAATGGCTGCAGCTCCAGAATTGGCGTTATAATTTGTTTTATATGATTTCTTTGACCAAGAGCAGTCCGCAACAACAGTTATAAAACGATAGCCATCTTTATTAATATCTCCATGCTCTTTTGCTAATTTGATTTCTTCTTGTCCAGCCTCAAGCATTGATGTCCAAGAACTTTCATGGTATAAGTCAATTAGATCATTTTGAATTAATAAATAATATTTTTTGATAGTAGTGGGATATTTAGACTGGACGGTAATTCAGTTAGTTGTGTGTATCCTCCACCAATACTAACTATTCCAGTTATTGCTGCAGAATTGACGTTGAGGGATAGTTGTTTAAATTTTTCAGTGTCTACTTCATGTTTTATGCGACACATTGGGCAACAGAGAGTAAATTTAGAATAACATCCTTTTCGCTTTTCACTAGTTACCGTAATATCTTCCGAAAGCAATTGAACAATCTGTGGTGAGGGAATTGCAGTATTTGCCTAATAAAATATTGCACATCTACAATTCTTCTTCCTTGTAATATGAAATCTGAAGTAGTTTGTCTAAAAGACATATAAATTATTTATTTATGTTTAAAAGTTTACTGTACTTTTTACTGCTACTACATTTTATATTTGGTAAAAAAAACTTACGTAGTAGCTGAATATTCTTTTATTATGTTCTCCTCCTTGCAAGGAAAAATCCAAGAACGCAGAAATCCAGGCCGTAGAAGAATGTCCTGGATGAGAAATTTAAGAGAGTGGTTGGGCTGTACCACTAACGAATTATTCAAAACAGCAGTAAATATAATTAGAATCTCCCTAATGATATCCAATCTCCGATAGGAGAGGCACTCAAAGTAGAAGAAGATGTTCTCCTTGGCAAGTTCTTCGAAAATACGGGATTGACTGTTATAGAAAAATCGTATTCATTTCATGTTAAAAAAATTAAAAGTATGGCTTACTCAATAAATATCTCTGCTACTTTTTGAGCCGCCACTCAAGAATATCGTGCTCGTCTATAATATTCCAAATTAAATAATTTTAAAAACAAATGAATGTATTACTTACTTAGTACCTACAGTTTCTTTATAGTGTATTAACATGTAAACCTTCTACTACAATGCTAGTAGTGATAACCTCAAACATACAATCCACAAAAATCAAACAGATGGTTTATTCCTTTAAAGGAAAATAAAATGTAATGAAAAAATTCTTGGTTTACTGATCGATTTTATAAATGACATCAGTAAAATCAGTTTTACAGAAAAATACAAAAGTAATTAATTTAATTTATATAAAAAGTACTTTCAATTGAGCTAACCGTCTATTTCTTCGTTTTACACTAATACATTTCTTGTAACAACGTCCCATATTTGAATTTACGCAAATAAAGAAATAAATAAAGTCTTTATGAATTAATTGAGCAATACCTATACAACATAGCTTTTCACAGATATACATGTGCTAAGCCGATTCTGGATAAACAAGATACCGACCGTTTTAAAGCTTTCATACTAGTGAGAATTTAACTACACGTAATTTGCTGTGTAAAGAAAGATAAACTAGGGATAGGACAGTCGATGCCGATTCGGTTCATCTAAAATTTGCGCCTACGCTCTTAAGAAGATTAGTGATTTCGAGAAAAAAACGCGACATTGCGCAAAAAATTTTGGATAGAGTAAATAAAAACATTGGTATATGTATTCAAATTCTAACATGGATCTTAACTTGTAAACCTATGAAGAAATAGTGTGGCTATTAGTTTTATTAAAATTAGTTCATACAAGTCATGATATATCATGATACAAGTTCTGTCAAGTGCAAAAGTGAAAGTGAAGTTAGCCAGTGTGAATGGGGGAAAATTTAACGGGATTAACCTAAATTCCAGTGTCAAACTTACCGAAGGAGATTTTAGTTGTCACCAGCCAATGGACTATAAACAATTTGAGCAGCAAGTTATGGTTTCATCCACCCCAATAATCGACCCAAAATACGATACTGTATCGTCAGAAGATGAAGATGACCAAGAAGAAGAAGAAAAACAAATAGGTAATGTGTCAAATCTTATTCAAAGTGACGATTTTATTGAAAGCATGGAAGAACAATAACCAAATGCTGAAAAAGCAGAAGACGACCTAAATATTACCACAAATTATGATAATATTGAGAACCGCTAAAACCAAAGATGAAGGGTATGATAGACTAATTCAAACATTTGTAACTGAAAATACTTGTTATTTAAAAGAAAACCAGAGTCAACGACAAGTGCTACTTAGGAAGATTAGTGATTACGAGAAAAACGCGATAAAGTGCAAAAAAATTTGGATAGAGTAAATAAAAACATTGGCATATGTAATCAAATTCTGACATCGATCTTAACGTGTAAACCTATGGAGAAATATTGTGGATTACAGTGATTTTATATTTTATTGTAAATTGTTTGTTTAAATATGTAAATTAATTGTTTGTAACTATGTAAATTAATAGCATTTTGCTTATTGGTTTATTTAGTCAAAGAAACATATTCTAAAATGAAAATTTTACTTTCATTTTGAAATATAGACAGAACTTGTATGAACTAATTTTAATAAAATAACATTTTAAATATTTTTTTTTTGTTTAATTTTTAACCCACACCTGCAGACATGAGCTATGCAATAATTCACACACACACACACACAAATTACAAAATAAAGCCAACATTTTTGTTGACCTTATTTTGTATTTTATAGAAAGCAAATTTGCAAATAATGACATAATAAAACTCTAATGATATACCCGGTTCGCTATTCCCAGTCCGAACTGTCTAGTGATTTTAGTAATTATTTTTTTGCGAAGTTAGTTACTTTTTGACAGACTCGAAGTGGCTGGAAATTACTCATCGAGCAATAATTACTAATCGAGTCTTTTTGCTCGATGAAATTACTATACAAACAAGCATACGTGCTCTTAGTCAATATTAATGTAAACAAAAGTAAATAAAACAGAACTTTGCCGACAATCAATATTTATTTATTTACACCGTATAATGTATTGATAACAAATAATAAAATTATTTATTGTACAAAATAAAAAAAAGTGGGAATAAATTCTACAAAATTAAAAAGTCAAAGTGAGGTTAAATAAGACACAGCAAGTTCCTTATGTTGTGACTAGGATGGAATCAATGATTAAAGATTAACAGTTCATTGGATAGCATTAAAATAAACTGTTGTTTTATTATCTTACAAAATAAGTGTACTTGCATATGCTAAAAGCAAATATTAGTAATTTGACTAGGCAAATTCGTGGTTCAATAGTAATTTTTGCTCATTAGCATTTGAGGATGTTAAAATCTTCCACATATGGTGAATGAATTCAATGCCCTGGTCGCAGTCTGCAGTCATATAAACACAAACAAAAAACAAAAACCTCCATGTAAGTATAAACAAGTTTATATTAAATTAGAAACAACTAATCTAAAAATATTAACTTTTAAAAAAACATTTTATCATATTTATTAAGAAAAACTTACCAACGCATTAGCTGATGGAACAAATGGAAAACTTTGACTATCCATAATAATAAAATTTAAAATATAACTAACTAATTAACTGAATAGAACTAACAAAAGAATTAAACAAAGATAATAAAAAAATAAAACTATATTAAATTAAATAAACAACGCGAATAATACAAATATTTACTACAATATTTTAAATTGTAACAATTCAAATATTATATTTATACAGGGAAAATTTGATGGGTTTAGTATACACTTCCACTATTTAGAATAATTCTTCTTTTTTTTTCAAAGAAAGAAGTCTGCAATAGTAGTATACTTGAGCTATTAACACTGAGAAGTAGGAATTGTTGTGTTGTAGGTTTCCAACAATGAGTCTGTCAAAATATGCCCTAGCTAAGCGAATAGACAATATCTAAAACACTTACCTCAGTAATACATATATATTCCAATAGATAAATTCATCATACACAAACACAAATCACATAAATCACATATCGCTAAACTTTGCCAGACGCGATAATTATAGGTCTTTTAACCGAGATACGAACAAAGACTGAAATATAAATTCATAAAGTTTATGATTGCGAATCGGGACACATGAAACTAAAAATAGAATTTTAACACCATAAACGGGTTTAAAATTTTTTACCTAAATAAATAATTGATTTAAAAATTATTTCTTACTGTATTTATAAAAACTAAGAGAAGATATTTTTAAATCATATTTTACAAGTATAGGTCTAGTTAAAACTTGGAAAAAAAATTAAGTAACAATTTTTAACGGGGTAGTTAACCCCCACCCATAAAAATTTTGTCAAACAATACAATGTTGCATATCAATCAATAGGGAAAAAAATAACAAATTCGAAAATGTATAACTTATTTGTTTAAAATTTAATACAAGGGTGTTAATTTCTTTTTTTATATTTGCACTTAAACAAATTATTTTCCACTGTATTTATGAAAGCTAAGAGAAGATATTTTTAAATCTTATTTTACAAGTATAGGTCTAATTAAAACTTGGAAAAAAAATTTAAGTAATAATTTTTAACGGGGTAATTAACCTCCACGTATAAAAATGTTGTCAAAACAATACAATGTTGCATATCAATCAATAGGGAAAAAAAATAACAAATTTGAAAGTGTATAACTTATTTGTTTAAAATTCAATACAAGGGGGTTATTATTTTTTTATTAATTAAAGGGGAATGGAATTAAAACCTTTTTATTGTTGTAGATTTATATTATTGCAAACAATACAATATTTGGATAAACAGTAAATATACAAGTTTTTATTACAGCACATATAAACATGTGCAGTCAAATCACTGACCTTTCCACTTGAATGTTCTGTAATATGAGTAGTGGGGACGTATGATGGCACTTCGCTCACAGTCTCAAAAAAACAAGGACATAAGGTCGCATTGTCTATCACATAATAATGCTGACTTATGCATACTGAGTATCCGCTTTCATATGACAGAAATCGCACGTTGTTCACATTGTCCATTTTAAATATTTTGTTCTCTACCTCCGCGGAATCAGTATCTAAAACTTCACTGTCTTCCATGTCTGATAAATTCTCGGTAAATACCGAAAAAACAAAACTTCCATCAGTAGAGACATTGTCAGTATCTTCAGCTTCATATGGCGCTATGGGATCCAAAAGATTTACGTCTGCTTCAACCATTTCTTGGTTTTTATTTTCTAGCACCATTTTGATATTATCACAAAAATTCTAAATGCATCAGTTTATATATTTGCAAGTAGTATAAAGAGGGGGTTAGTACCATCTGCTTTTACTTCTAAAAATAGCTCAAGGGTCAATTAACTGGATATCCGTTAGTCTAGACAGTACCCTGTCTAAAAATAACTCAGGTTAATGACCAATATCTAAAAGTAGCTGAACGTCAGTGACCTGATCATCTGGTGTGTCTAGACAATATCCGGTCTAAAAATAACTCAAGGTTAACGAAATGGACATCTGGTAGTGAACATCCGGTTTGATATATCCCGTTTGTTCTAAAATAAGGAGGAGGTCAATGACCTGTTAGTCCAGATAAAATTTAGTAATGTGGTGGAGGAACATCCTGCAGTGTGGTAATAGTGGACAGAGTAGGAAGGGGAGGAAAACGTGTATAAGAACCCGAGACTTGCACACATGGATCATAATTTCAAAATGAGTGCTACATTTCGAAACGTATTTTTGGGTGAACGCCGGTTTTACCTGAACCCATTGAACTCAAAATTTGTTTCTGTTTGCCTAACACATTGTAACCTCGGAAATCTTTTTTGGATGGTGCTAGAAAGATAACCAATGGAGACACTGCGGACGGCAGCCAGATGGTTGGTGGAGAGCGAGTCGTGGGTTCGAAACTAGCTTTTGGAACCGGGATTGGGTCCAACGGACGAAATAAGTAAAGATAGGATAAGAGATATTAGAAAAGATATAGAAATAAACAAAAAGATAGATGGGTAAAATTACCAAAGATAAGAGAAGATAGAAACAGGGCGCCAATCAATTTTTTTGGGGTTAAGGAGAAAATAAGAAACCTTAGAAAAGAAAAGAGATAAGGAAAGATATTCTTCAGAGATCAGAGATCAAACACAAGGAAAGATACCAACAGTTAATTATCAAATAAATTTGGTCAACACAATATATAAATAAATAATAAATATATTAGGTATTACACTTACTTACCTACGAAACTTAATCAGCCTGATCTTTCTACTGGTCAAAGGTATAGTAATAAATTAATATACTAAGCAAATATTTAGAGCTACTATTTTATCAGGGGACTTGTTAGGAGCCGACAAATAAAATACATGCATAAAACATTAACAATATATTAAACACAAAATTATGATGTTGCCAAATGCAACACAAGTAATAAAAATACACAACTATGAAATGGTGTTATAAAATAACAATACCTTTAATGTTAAATATAATAAAAAATACCTTTACAAAGATATATAAGGCAATCATATACAAATATAGTTTGGCGTATCACGAGATATTATAGGAAAGGTAACGAGCAAAAATTATAGCAAATACAAAAGATAGCAAAAATTTCTTAACTCTAAATTTACAAAAAAAAAACAAACAGGTTACAGAGTTGAAAACATTAACTAGCCAAACCGCACTTGGCTAGGTGGGTTACTATCTCGCACTATTAATTAATGCTAAACTGAGATGTTCATAGTTATTATTTATGGAAAGTCCTTGAATTGTTCTTTAAATTAAATATAAAAATCGGCAATCTACAGATGAAGATATGGATGAATGATGGGTGATACGTCCAGATAATGGCAGGTGGTATGATACCATACCATATTACATTACATTAATTTGCACATTATCAATAGTACCACTTAGTGTAAATTGATATGAAAATAAACCACTATCCAATATATTAGAAAACTTAGAAAAGAAAAGAGATAAGGAAAGATATCCTTCAGAGATCAGAGATCAAACACAAGGAAAGATACCAACAGTTAATTATCAAATAAATTTGGTCAACACAATATATAAATAAATAAT